GAGTCTGTGAGCTGGACTGTAGCCTTGGACCTGGGGCCTTGGAGTCTCCCTCCAGTCTAGGAATTGGCTGGCTAGATCGTCGTCTCATCATGTGTGGGAAGTTTCTGAGGTCGTGTTTGTTGTGTATTACTGTTCTTTTTATCCCTCAACAGTGGGTGGCCCTTGAGCCTTAGACTAAGGGTGGAGGCCTGCTCGAGGTGGTCTTGGGCCAAATTTGTTAATTTTAGAATAAATATTCTTTAGAAGACACAGCAATTATTTGTCTATTTGCTGTACCAAACAACTTGGAGTTGCAGTGACGCTGAACACTGTTTCATAGTCATGTCAAATACCATAGTGGTTACCCATTATGTATAATGCTTGGATGAGTTTCTAGATTGATTCATGTTGGAGAGCAAGAGTGGCATCCACTTTCTAAACTAGATGCTTCTGGAAACTCTACAAACCCTTATAAATGTACAGAAATGATATTAATTATAGGACTGAGTTCAGATCATTTGTGCAAGGCTTACTCTGAGTCATATTCAACTTGACAATACTTAATGACTGTTAAATGAGACTAGTGCTGTCATATCTGGAGGAGCATTCTTCCACTTTGCACATCCCTCTTTATCAATGTTCTGTATGAAGTAACCTGGGTTTGCTGTGATGCTGAACCATGTGCCATGAGGCTATCAAATACCAGAATGGTTTCCCATTTTGGACAGTGTTTTGTGCAGCTCCCAGTTGTAAAACAGGTTTGAAAGCAGGAGTGGTATCCATTTCCTAAACCACATGCCTCTGGAAATTCTATGAACTTGGAGAAATAACGATAGTTATGGAAAGGCATTAGATCTATTGTTTATAGAGTCACTGTAAGTTGACCTCAACTCAAAGGCAATCAACAACAACAACATACTGTTGTTAGACTTTATCCCTATCTATACTTTCATAATTCACTTTAAGAAGAAAGAGTAAGATCTTGAATCTAGTCCTATCAAATTTCACCTGGTTGAAATTATATTTCATCTATTGTTCCAGGTTGCCAAGACCCTTTAGTATTGTTTGCTATTTATTGAATTCATTGTTCTTTTAAATAGTGTCATCCATAAAGTTGATGTATCTATCCATAATACAGAGGTAAAAGAAGCAGGACTCTTTCAGGTGACAATATTTTATTTATGTGGTTCTGTATTTTGTATAGAAATAATGTTTCTGTCATCTGAGTATTGTAGTAAAGGAACACATTCCATAGCATCTTTCATTTGCCTGGAGTCACCTTCTTAATAAGATTTAACTTTGTATATTTAATACAGAGACATTGTCCTATCTTTGACTCTGTTAGAGGCAGTGAAAAAGGTGACTAACAAAGTTGGGTTTTAACAAGAATGTGAGGATGAACAGAGAAGTTAACTAATTAGGATAGTAGAAGATTCTGGGATTCATTGAAGGAAGTGTTAAATTTGCCAAGACAATTGAGTCAAAGTAAATAAGAAGAAAACCAGGAGAATCTTGAGGTTACAATAAATGTTTAATAGTTACAGCAGTTTCATTTGAAAAGTTCAGAATGATTTAGAAATAAGAAAAGTATGAAAATAGGTGAGATATGGATCTAGCCTTGGTAGAGAATGTAAGGGAAAAGCAATATGTGCTTGTCTGGGAGGGATGAGACAGAACCAATAAGCATACAAGAAGAATCCAATATTTATTTAAGACTAGTATGCATGCATCTTGATTGCATGTTCGATTGATCTCTGACTGATCAAACATGCCATCAAAATGCCTTAATGAGTGAATGGAATGCAAAAGTTGGAAACAGAGAAGAAGGATCAGTAGGTGGAAAACATGGACTTGGTGACAGGAATGAAGCTGGAAATAGAACGATAGAATTTTTCACAATCAACGATATATTCATTGCAAACATATTTTATAAGAAATATACACACAGGCTATACACATGGATTTCACCTGATGATATGTATAGGAATCAGATTGATTACATCTTTAGAAAGAACCACTGGAAAAGCTCAATATCAGCTGTGAACACTAGGCCAGGATTGTGGAACTAGGCCAGGATTGTGGAACAGACCACCAACTACTCATATGCAAGTTCAAGCTTAAGCTAAGGAAAATTAAATAAAATCCACAGAAACCATAATATGACCTTGAGTCTATCCCACCTGAATTTCAAAACCATTTCAGGAACAGTTTTAAGGTCTTGAACACCAATGAGCAAAGACCAGATGAGTTGTGAGAGGATATCAAGAACATCATCCAGGAAGAATGCAACAGGTCATTACGAAGACTGAGGAAGAAGAAAAGACCAAAATGGATGTCAGAAGAGCCTCTAATTATTGCACTAGAGCACCAAGAAACCAGAGCAAAGGGATATTAAGGTGCAGAACGGAAGAGTTCAAAGGCCAGCGCGAGAAGACAAAGTAAATTATTATAATAAAATGTGCAAAGACCTGGAGTCAGAAAATCAAAGGGGCTGAACTTGCTCAGCATTTCTTAAGCTCAAGAAACTGGAGAACAAATTCAAGCCTCAAGTTGCAATACTTAAGGATGCTTTGGACAGAATATTAAATGATCCAGGAAGTATTAAATGAAGATCAAAAGAGTATACTGAGACATTGTACCAAAAGGAATTGGTGGACACAAAAGAATTTCATGAAGCCACATATGAGCAAGAGCCTATGGTGATGAAGGAAGAAGTTCAAGCTGAAAGAATTGGCAAAAAACAAGGCCCCAGGAACTTGTTATACAAATTATATATTTCAGCAAACAGATGCTGCCCTAGCTGTGCTCACCAACTTATGCCAAGAAATCTGGAGAACCACCACCTAGCCAACTGACTGGAAAAGATCTTTATTTGTTTCCATTCCAAAGAAAGCTGATCCAACAGAGTGCAAAAATTATTGAACAATATCATTGATATCACATGCAAGCAAGATTCTGCTGAAGATCATCCAAAAACGACTGTAACAGCACATCAACAAAGAACTGCCAGAAGTGCAGGCTGGGTTTAGAAGATGCCATGGTACTAGGTATATTATAGCTAATGTTAGATGGATCTTGGCTGAAAGCAGGGAGTACCAAAGAAATGTCTATCTGTACTTCATTGACTATGCAAAGGGGTTTGACTGTGTGGACCACATCAAACTGTGGCTAACTCTGAAAAGAATGGGAATCCCAGAAATTTGATCATGCTTATACAAAACCTATATTGGACGAGAAAGTAGTCATCAGAACAGAGCAAGGAAACATTGCATTGATCAAAATTGGGAAGGATGTATGCCAGGGATGTGTCCTATCTCCAAACCTTTTCAGTCTATATGCAGAACAGATTATCTGAGAGGCTGGGCTCTATGAGGAGAAATGTGCCATCAGGATTGGAGGAAGACTCATCAACAATCTGTGTTATGCAGATGACACAACCCTGCTTGCTGAAACTGAAGAGGACCTGAAGTGCTTGCTGTAGAAGGTCAAGGACTGCAGCCTTCAATATGGATTGAGGATCAGTATCAAGAAAACAAAGATTCTCACCACTGGGCCAATTGGCAGTATCATGATGGATGGTAAAGAGATTGAAATTGTCCACAGCTTTAGTTTGCTTGGCTCCACAATCAATACTCTTGGTACAAGCAGCCAGGAAATTAAAAAGACATATTGCACTGGAAAAGTCTGCTGTCAGAGACCTCTCTAAAGTACTAAAAAGCAACAATGTCAGTCTGGAGACTAAGGTGATCTTAATACAGGCCATGGTCTTTGAAATCACTTGCTATGCATCAGAGAGCTGGGCAATGACTAGGGATGATAGAAAGAGGATTGATGCCTTTGAGGTATGTTGTTGGAGAACAGTTCGTCCTAGAGAGGGTTAAACCAGGCTGCTTCTTGCAGGCAAGGATTCTGAAGCTTCATCTGACATACTTTGGATAAAGAAGAACATCATGCTTGGCAGGGTGGAGGGACAGCACATGAAAGGAAGACCCTCCATGAGATGGATTCATTCAGTGACTGGGGCAATGGGGGTAGGTGTGTCAGAGACGATAATATTGGCACAAGATAGAGCAAGGTTTAGGGCTGTTGTACATAGGGTTGCTATGAGTTGCAGGTGATGCGATGGCACATAACAACAACAACAGCTATATGCATGAGTGGAGCACAGTAGGGAATACCAGTGGAGTAGTATGTAAGGGTTTGCTGTGCCAAGCCAAAAGCAGCCAGTTTGAATCTTCCAGCTTCTCTTCTGGAGAAAGACAGGTCATTCCTTTCTATAAAAGTTATAGTCTCTGAAAACCCACTAGAGGGTCAGCTGTATGTTGGTTCCAACTTGATGACAATTGGTTAAGTTGTTGTTGACAATTTAACAATTAGTTAGGTTCATGAATAAGCATAAGTATTGTTATGAGCATTTTATATTCACAAACACACTTTTCAAAGTAACTTATGAGATTAGTAATATCCTATTTCACAAATGAGGAAACTGAGGCACAAAATAGTTAACTAAACAACTTCACTTGAATTGCTGAAATTCTCACCCAGGCAGCCAGGCTTCAGAGTTCACACTGGGAACAACTCATATATTTGTATACAGCTCACCAAAATGTAAGAGTTCTCCTTGAGAATTTATACATATCCCAGAGTGAAAGGCTCCATTTTAATGACTCAAAAACTAACACAGAAAGTTGTGTACAATTTAAAAATGTTTATTCACCTGACTTTTTTTATATTCAACCAAATCATTGTTCCATTTTACCACTAACTTTTAAGGTGTGTAAGTACATTAAACCACAATCTTTTCCAATTTTGAAGGATATTTCATTTCAGTTGGGTGGAATCATAGACACAGCTACAAATAAGTAAACTCAATTTTACATTACAAATGCATAAATATAGGTCATACACATGCTTTGGTGAAAATACAAAAGTTCAAAGGTAGACATGTGTATGAATAGTGCCATTCTGTCTGGTGTTAGCTGATTGCTTCTACGTGGAGCCAAAGTGCTGAAAATACCCGGTTAGCTGTTCCACATCAATCGGAATGCTGATGGCTGCACCACATACTCGGCGTGAAATTCTATGAAGACTTGATGTGAGGAAAATGCAACAGGAGCTATTTCAGTGTCCTACAATGGAAAAAAATTTAAAATAAAATAAAAAAGGAACAAGTGTTTTTTACAAGCCCAGATATTTTTCTGGAAATATTATACTCATAAGCATATACTACATAAATATCTTTATCAATTTTAAATTAATCTTCCTATCTCTCTAGGAAAAATCTTTAGCAGATTTTCTGACCATTAGATTATATATTATATTAGTAGGTTTT